GGTGTGTCTTGGTTCTAATACACACAAACACCTCCATATTCTCACTTTGCTATGAGTGACATTATTAATGATATGCTGTGTAGTTCCAGGTGTGTCTTGGTTCAGGTGTTTGTATGTATTACTTTATTCTCTCTTTGCTATGGTGTGTAGTTCCAGGTATGATGTTAAGATAAAAAGTTTAGGAAACACTTGTCATAGCATACCTTGCCATGTGAGGCCTATAGTTGGGTGTTTGAATCAATAAGTAATAGGAAAATTTCATTAAATGAAAGAGATACTGTATTAAATAGTTTAAAGTGTTCAAGTGGTATTGTTGATTGCTTGTATTTAATGTATTGTAATGAATTCCTGAAAGTACAGAGCTATAGATGAATGATTTATTTCAGCCTCCCCAAAGCTTGATACCAGTTTTGCCATGCGTGATATTATTGTGCCAGCTGGGGAGGAATTCAATATTCAAGTGCCATATTCTGGTAGCCCAACACCACATGCATCATGGACCATTGTAAGTTATTTTGGTAAATAAGGAACTAATATATCTGTAGATGACTGTAGAGTTAAAACTTGAAAGATGCTAAATTAAGGACCCAAAGGATAACAAGGATATTGAAAATACTACAACACTTTTATTAATAAACTTCACTTGAGATAACATACTTGTTTACCGTGCATAAATCTTTCCAAAAAAAAACAAAACAGAACAGCAGAAAAAGTAAGGTATTTTGAAGGAAAAGTACAAAACTTCCATAAGAAAGAAGTAGAAACTCAGATGTTTTGTTTGATTATGACTCCTTGTAAATATTTCTCATATCTTTATATCTTCAGTTGTTAAACTACACCCAAGCTGTTTGGTCTGTTCGCCAAGCAGCTATATAAGATTGGAGCATGAACAGAAGACACACATAAATAGAGAAACATGTTTTACTATGTATTTGTTGTTGTTTTTTACACTTCAGTATTATGCAAGTGCATGATTTTATTATACTATGTCAATTAAATTGATTTGAATTGAATTGAATATCTCCTCTTTGACACTTCTTATGCAAATGACAATTGTCAAAAAGCATTTACTTCAGTAGTGATCTTTTCTGGCACTCAGTAAAATGGCAATGAATGGTGGCATCCAGCAGAAAAAATCCCAGCAGCTACTTAGTGAACCCAAATGCTCTATTGTGCTGGATGCATCCATTCCATTGAAACCCAAAGATTTTTTCCAACAATGCATTGCAGTCAGTCTCTGTTGTTAAAAACAAAAGCAGTGCAATTTTCCTTATTGAAATAACACATAGAATGACAAAAGATGGTTGTAAATGGCCAACTAGACAATCATATTGCATATATGCACTGATCCAAACCATTGGGTTCACTGCATATTTTTTATTTATTCATCACTATTTTTAGGAAATGTACTGTTGAATTATTTCAATAAGCATACGATAGCAATATTTTAATTCAAAAGTCAAAATAACTTTCTCTGTGTTTCCCAACATTATTGTTCAGGCTTTGTGGGTGTTATTTGTAAAACTATGGTAATGAATACCATATTATGTTTTTTGTAAATTGATAAATCTTTGAAGACAGTTCTGATACTTTTAAGACACTGTGTATCTATATTTTCCTGAGTGGTTAACAAGAATGAGTAACTGCATTGTGCTTATGTTTATTTCATTAATTTGTAATTTTGTATGATATATTATAACTGTATTAATACATCACTTGCTATTTTTCTACTTAAAAGCTGGCTACTCATTAAGTAAACTACTCCACCAATGTTTCTTATAACAGTTATAAGACAGATACAGCAGTTTTTGTCAGGGTTTGAATTGTATTTCACCAGAATGGCAAAGATCTACTTCCTGATGATCGTGTGTACTCAGAGGTGAATGTAGCTTTCACCATTCTCACTAACAAATGTTCAAAAAGAGAGGATTCTGGGAAGTATACGCTGAAACTTACCAATGATGTTGGCTCTGACTCTGCTTCTTGCAAAGTAGTCATTGTTGGTGAGTTGATCATTTTTCAATGTTTAAATAACCAGTATTTAAGTACTATTGTTTTGGCTCGAGAGTAATATTTTTATTCAGATATTTTTACATTTTTACCAAACTAACTGCATTTCATGGATTTTGATCAACTATCAAAATGGGAAAACTTTGTTGTATATGTACTTAATTCAAAAGAACAAGAGTTTTTGTGCATCAAGTTATTGTAAAGTGCGTTATTACTTGATGACGAAACTTAGGTAAACTGTAATGATGCTACTATGCAAACCTTTCACTATCACAGACAAACCTGGACCTCCTCAAGGCCCACTAGAAGTTTCAGACATTACACCAGAAACTTGCTCTTTGTCGTGGAGACCACCATTGGATGATGGTGGGAGTCCTCTACTTAATTACGTTGTGGACAAACAAGATCCCAGTACTAAGGTGAGCTTTTCTTTTTATTACTATAATTCAAATCTGCTTTCAATCTTGTTTTAGGATGTCATTATATTTCAAAGGAAACTAATGAAAGAGATTAGTATGTTTTAGCATAACTAAGCATTTTTCTGCTTTCAGATTTGGACCAAATTAAGCAGTTTTGTTCGAGGATGTCATTATGATGTCATTGGGCTTGAACCCAAGAAGAAATATGTATTTCGTGTCAGTGCTGAAAATGAATATGGTGTGGGACCACCCTTAGAGACAGATAAATCAATTACGGCTAAGTTTCCATTTGGTAATTATTAGTATTCTCTTGTAATATATGTGGGTATAGAAGCTTTGAAACTGAAGATCACCAGTCATATGTTTTAACAGTTACTCTTTCAACACAGCAACACCTAGAATTAAATTGTTCAGTTACACTTTTAGCATAACATCCTAATGTTGACAAAATTGGTTGTTTCCTTGAAAGTATTAATGTAATATATTTCAGTTGCTACAAGAGAAGCTAGTGGATCCAATCAAGTTAAATTGCATTGTTCAGTATTAACAAACTTAGTAGTAGAGATTTATATAAATATTTCATTTAATGTTTCAGATGTTCTAAACCTTTCAAATCTTTACATAAATGTTTCAGTCTTAAAGTTATAGATGTTCAACATCATCTGGATCTATATATAAGTGTTTCACTCTTAATGTGCCAAATGTTCTACATCCTCCAGATCTTTATATAAGTGTTTTATTCTTAATGTTCCATATGTTCAACATCTTCCAGATTTTTACACAAATATTTCACTCTTAATATTTCAAAGGTTCTAAGTCCACCAGATCATTACACAAGTATATCACTCTTAATGTTTCAGGTGTTCTTCATACTCCAGATCTTTACATAAGTGTTGTTTTATCAAATGTTCCAAGGCCTTCATATCTTGCATTTCATTGTTGATGATTCAGATGTTCCAAGTCCTTCAGATCTTACATTTCAGTGTTGACTTTTCAGAAGTTCAAAGTCCTTCAGATCTTTACATTTCAATGTTGAATTTCCAGATGTTCCAAAGCCTTCAGATCTAACATTTAGGTGTTGATGTTTCAGATATTCCAAGTCCTCCTGGAGCTCCTACTATTGTAGATTGGGATGCAAACAGTGTTAACTTGCTGTGGGAACGACCATCCACTGATGGAGGCTCTAAGATACAGGGCTACTTTATTGAGTACAGAGACTTGGTGGATGGTAACTGGATCAAGGCTAACAATTTCTTGGTGAAGGATACAGCTTTCAAAGGTAAATGTCCTGTTGAATTCTATTAGAGAAAAGTCATGTTGTATATTTCTTTAAGTCTACATGTAATTCAGAGATTTTAAAAAAGGATGTCCTCTAACTAACAGATCCTCGTTCAAGTAGATGTTTCCAGGATTATGTTAATATTACCAGACTTAAACTCACAGTTACAAGAATATTCTCTAACAGTTTTCTTGAAGTTGAAGTTAAAAGTTATGCACATGACCAGTTTATAGTCCTAGTCAACATATGCTTTTTTTATATCAATTTCTACAGATCTTACATTTCAGTGTTGACTTTTCAGAAGTTCAAAGTCCTTCAGATCTTTACATTTCAATGTTGAATTTCCAGATGTTCCAAAGCCTTCAGATCTAACATTTAGGTGTTGATGTTTCAGATATTCAAAGTCCTCCTGGATGAATTTTTGTTAATTTTTGCCACATATTACATTCTTAATCTAATTTCTCTGTTTCTATTTTCAGTGTCAGATCTTATAGAAAACCATGAATACGAGTTTCACGTGTTGGCAAAGAATGCTGCAGGACTCAGTAAACCGAGCCAACCTACAGCTACTTTCAAACTTAGGTCCAAGTTTAGTAAGTAAAATAAAGGGTTTCATCTCTCTCCCTAACTAGTATCCACAGGTTTCATTAGTATAAATAAAGCACTCACTGTAACTAATATCCACACAGTTTCAGTATAATGAATAAACGTCTTTCTGTAGGATTTCAGTAGTATAAATAAAGCTCTCTATGTAGCTAATACCTGCAGGTTTCAGTAGTATAAATAAAGATCTCTATGTAACTAATATATATGGTGTTTTAGTAGTATAAATAAAGATCTCTCTGTAGCTAATATCTGCAGGTTTCAGTAGTATAAATAAAGATCTCTCTGTAGCTAATATCTGCAGGTTTCAGTAGTATAAATAAAGATCTCTATGTAACTAATATCTGCAGGTTTCAGTAGTATAAATAAAGATCTCTATGTAACTAATATCTGCAGGTTTCAGTAGTATAAATAAAGATCTCTATGTAGCTAATACCTGCAGGTTTCAGTAGTATAAATAAAGATCTCTATGTAACTAATATGTATGGTGTTTTAGTAGTATAAATAAAGATCTCTATGTAACTAATATGTATGGTGTTTTAGTAGTATAAATAAAGATCTCTATGTAACTAATATGTATGGTGTTTTAGTAGTATAAATAAAGATCTCTATGTAACTAATATGTATGGTGTTTCAGTAGTATAAATAAAGATCTCTGTAGCTAATATCTAAAGGATTTCAGTAGTATTGATAAAGCTCTCTCTGTAACTAATATCTATGGTGTTTTAGTAGTATAAATAAAGATCTCTATGTAACTAATATGTATGGTGTTTCAGTAGTATAAATAAAGATCTCTGTAGCTAATATCTAAAGGATTTC